AAACTGTTACTAAAATGAGATCACTTTGGGGTGTCAAATATCTAAAATAGGGTATTTTGGGGGTGATCCTACCATTCTGGCATTTGATGTTTTATAACAAAAAACAAGGTAAACATTTTTTTTTTTTACAAATGTGGGGCTATTTCCTTTATATAAGGAAAAAATAATAATGGTTAATAAATACCATAAAAAGCCCTGTCTGTCTCAAAGAATGATCTAAAAGTCATTTGGGTACAGTGTTGCATGACTCAGTAATTGTCAGCTAAACTAAAACTGAAAAATGGCCTGGTAATAAATGGATATTACAGGCTGGTGCTCAAGTGATCAAATAAACTCCAACAGGGCTGTACATACTTTCAGCTTACACTATGTTATTATTAATTATACTATGTGCTAAGTTGTAGACCATCATAACAATGACATGGAAAAGGCCATACTTTAAAGTTGGGTATATAAAACATAGAATAAATACAGGTGAGATTGATTCACACAGCAATTTTATCGCTTTTTAGTGTTTTGTCTGGCATTCTATTTTAAACTACTGGACAAAAGGGAAAAACAGCACTAGTGAGATTCTATACCAATGTATATTTCATGAGGTCATCTGTTATATCAGCATGTGCTAACCATTGATGTATCTGTGATACAAAATCCTGTGCTGTGCAGCTTCATTCTTACTGATACCAGATGCTGTAAGAAATGATGCTTTGGTTGTGGTTTTATTATAAAATACTCCAATCTGTAAGAGTAGGAGATATGATATCTTTTTTTTGTAATATATATTTTCCAAAATCTTCATTAGTGGGAATACAGAACTCATATGAGTGGAATAATCATTGCAATAGAACAGCTAGAGAAGGAGAGGGGATTGTGATCCTCTACCCTGCTGCTCCGTAGGTAGGGTATCAGCCTATGAGCACTGGGCCTGTACATGAGTCATCTGGCTATGACAACATTTTTCTATGTGACAGCAGTCCATGTTATTGTTGTGAGAAGTACGAAGCCACAGATTAAACATAGTCAGTTGGTGTAGCGTGCAATATTACCATCACATATGTTCCTGGAAAAGGCCAAGGAGTAAGTGGGTGCTGTAGCAAATACCAGCTGGAGACTGGTGAGCCATTGGTCAAAACATGTATCACCAGCACACCGTGGATCTTCAAGATGTCCAAACATTTATTGAGATGATCAAATCACAATGATAAGGTGTAATGTTTCAGTGCCATGCAGGAATGCTTCATCAGACATTTGAGGTAGTGGTCCTGTGTGACCTCTCAATAAATGTCTGAATGATATCTTGAAGATCCACAGCGTGAAATTAGAGTAGGCTTCACAAAAGCTCAATCCAGACATGTTGTTTAGTGAAACTTCAATTTCGTATCTTTTAAGTGAAAATTCAGTCAAATCCTAACTATACTTAAATCTACTCCCACCGCCATTCTAAGCCTATCCTAACTATCCTGTAAAGGAAAGATGTCTATACTAATTTATTATGAGGGGGCACCAGTCCGGTCACATGATTTCTCCAGCAGCCAGCTTCAGCGAAGAAGATAGATTGATGACAACAGCTGCAGACCCTGGGCAATGATGTCACCCATAGACTTACTATGGGGGCATCCATTGGCAACTGTCCTTCCTTTATACTGAAGCCAGTGCTGGGATCTGATCATATGACCTGACTGCCCTCAAAATAGGTAAGTATCTTTCCTTTACAGGTAGTCTTTCCTTTACAGGTAGTTAGAATAGGATTAGAATGGGGTGGGAGCAGGTTTAAGTATAGTTAGGATTTGAGTGGACTTCCACTTTAAGTGAACCAAAGCATTGAGCTGTGAGTGTACAGGTCTAAGGGAGAGGGGCAATATCTAAAAGTCCAAAAGGCACGAAATGCTGGCCTTGATTGAAATGCATTGCCTTTTATCGCAACAAAGAAAATGCAGACCTGTAGGGTTCCACCTTAAAATGATCCAAGATGTCTTAACCCTTTTGTGACCAGATATCTTTGATGCCCAGCTGTTCAGGCCAATTTGGCAGCAACATCAAGTGTTTTAAAGATGAATTCCAGGGGGCGTGTCCAAGATGGCGACCGGAGCGGCCACATAATCCGGAGCTCCGGCGCCTCGGAATCTAATCCGCTGCAATCCGGGCAGCAGCGGACCCTTGCTGGGCACTGGAGGCACCTCCAACTATCCCTGCATCTGGGAGAGGGGCGCTGTGCCATTTTGACCCCTCTCTGCGGCAACGGACATCCGCGGCCTAGTGCAGCCTACCCCACCCGGCTGCGAGTTCAACTTCATTCGGGCGACGACACAGTGAGTACAGTTGGCAAGGGGGCAGGCGGATGACGATCAGGTCCCTCTCTAGTGCTCCAGGGACTGTGGCTCACATTTTTAAGCCCGGAGGCCTTTCCGTCTACTAACACGGCCCCCACTGGGCCGATGCCTACAAACTGCTGGCAGTGAAGCACCTTGGCTCCCTACACCTGTTCTGGTGGGCCCTAGAGCCAGCACACAGGGAATTCTGTGCCATACAAGCCCTTCTACCCTATCAGACCCCATAATAGGAGTTGGAGCCTGCATCTGGGTCTCTGGCCTTTACCAATAATACCTACCACAGCTTATATCCACTCTGCCTGTCCACATGTCGATCATAATTTTTACAATATAGAGATTGCGCTGAGACGCCTGATCGCATCTATGTAACTATAACCTTACACCCTGTCAGGAATCTGGGTATGACCAGAAATGTGTGGACTGACATAGGGAAACGCAGACTTCAGGTATGATATAATAACAATATAATTATTATTAGCCACCCAGATATATAACGCACAGCGAACAAACCAACCTTCCACTAATCTTAGTATGTGCAGGAACACAGGCGTAGTCAAGCTGGAGAGGTGGAATCATCAGGTAGGCCGAAAGGTACTGTCAGGTGCCGCCTGGCGGTGTCTCTAGCAGCCCACAGCACGGATTTCCTCAGGGCGCGGGGTCTAAGTCCCAGCCTGCTATTCACCAGGGCCCCTGATGGTGGGGATGAACTTGGTGCAGACTGGAACCAGGTCGCGACCCCTGAGTGCGTCTGGCTGTGGTAGAGTGTACTGGCAGGGGAGTGCAGGAACGGAGTCTGATGGGAAGAGGCAGGCAGACTTTCTAAAGGTGATCCGTGCGGGATGGATGGATCGTCAGGTGAAGTAAGCGTGGTCAGACGGGCCAGGTCAGCAACGTGCGGGCAGCGAGTGTCAGGAATGGACTGGCCAGCAATGGTGGGACTCACCTGCCTTATGGGCTGCAGTACCAGGGCTGGCCAGCGGGTGCTCCCAGCAATCAGAGACTCAACCTTGCAGCCAGTCAAACACCTGGAACTGATTATACTGGTGTATTTAAGGGATGGCCAGACCTGCAGACTCTGCCTTGGTGTGTGTTTCTCCTGGGCCCTGTATCCTGTTCCTGCATCCTGTTCCTGTTCCTGTCTGATTCGTTGCTGACCCTGCTCTGATCCCTGGCTTTGTCTGACCATTCTCCTGCTCCTGATCCCTGGCTTTGTCTGACCATTCTCCTGCTCCTGATCCCTGGCTTTGTCTGCCCATTCTCCTGCTCCTGATCCCTGGCTTTGTCTGACCATTCTCCTGCTTAACCCCATACGTTCTGACCTCCTGTTGATAATCCCGGCCTGCCTGACGACGCTTGCATTGTATGTACTGTTATCTGTGGGTGGTTTGGTTAGGTTCGTTGGCACTGTGTTATGTTTTAGTATTGCACTGCGTTTATGTTTGTATTGTTAGTGTTAATAAATTATATTTATAACATATCTGAAGCCTGCGTTTCCCTGCGTCAGTCACATACCTCTGGTCACACCCTGGAGCCCTGACATTACACCAAGGCCAATCCTGACCAGAAGTGGCTGCACAGGGAAGCCATCTTGGTTTGTTGATGGGAAGGATGGATCTTGATGAGGTTGTGTATTTATATCTGCTAGTGTTTGATGACAGAGAGTATGCTTATCAAACTCTGAAGGAGTATCCCCGGGATGAACTGCTAGAATGTATACGGCTCGCTCATGTTCTAGTAGATCAGGGCACAGAATTCTCTGAGGTGCAGCCATTGATTCAGATTTGTGCGGAGTTGGTTTCATCTGGTACCCCCGAATGCAGGGATGAATTTTTGCCACCATTTAGTGCCGACCAGGTAGAGTCCCTGGTGTGGTTATTAGAGGATGATGTGGATTGCTTCTTGGAGCATTATGCTGCATGTTCACCACAGATACTAAGAGATTGTATAAACGCAGTGCAGTCTTTGGTCAGACAGGCTTTGTGTAAGCTCAGCTTTGCCCAACCCATACTGCAGACATGGACAGATTTGTTGCACCCAGCCTCAGTCAGCCTACAAAAACCCAGTCCTGCTTCTAATCTATTTCCTCAAAGCTCTATTCCTGCATTCCCAACAGCTCCTCCTGCCCTGCTATCTACCGCATGTCAGTACCCTGTTCCCACTCGCTGCACGTATCCTGCCTTTAACCCTGTAAAAAAGCCCTCTGTAGCAACTGCTCCCTCCTCTGTTCCATCCTCCAGCTCTTCTCTGCTCCATTCGTTTGCAGACCTGCGTTTACTTGCAGTGCTCCAGTAGTTAAAACCAGAAAAAAGCGAAAATTCTTTCCAACCAATACCATCCTGCCAGTATCCAAACCGGTGAGCCTGCCGTCTGAGAACCCGCCTTCCGTGGTTAAGCCTGGTTCCTCGGCACCCGCACTTCAGCCTGAGGTCTGTACCCAGCTGATGCCTGTACCCAGCCTGATGCCTGTACCCAGCCTGATGCCTGTACCCAGCCCGATGCCTCTCTTCAGCCTGATGCCTCTCTTCAGCCTGATGCCTCTCTTCAGCCTGATGCCTCTAATCAGCCTGATGCCTCTACTCAGCCTGATGCCTCTACTCAGCCTGATGCCTCCACTCAGCCTGATGCCTCTACCCAGCATAATGAACTGATCCAGCCTGATGATCCTATTAGGCCAGTTGACTCGATGCCCGCTGTTGATCCAGATGATCCGGTACCTGATTCGGTGCCCGCTGTCGTGCCAATTGACTCAGAGCCCGCTGTCGTACCTGGTGACTCGGTGCCCACTGCCTTGCCAGATGACGCGGTGCCCGCTGGCGAGCCAAATGACCTGATGTCTGGTGACCCAGTGCCCGCTGTCATACCTGGTGACCCGATGCCCGCTGTCGAGCCAGACGATCCAATGCCTGGTGACCCGGTGCCCACTGCCTTGCCAGGTGACGCGGTGCCCGCTGGCAAGCCAAATGACCTGATGCCTGGTGACCCAGTGCCCGCTGTCATACCTGGTGACCCGATGCCCGCTGTCGAGCCAGACAATCCGGTACCTGATGACCCGGTGCCCGCTGTCGTGCCAATTGACTCAGAGCCCACTGTCGTGCCTGGTGACTTGGTGCCCACTGTCTTGCCAGATGACGCGGTGCCCGCTGTTGAGCCAAATGACCTGATGCCTGGTGACCCGATGCCCGCTGTCCAGCCAGACGATCCAATGTCTGACCCAGTGCCAGTGGTCATGCCAGTGGACTCGGAGCCCACTGTCGTGCCTGGTGACTCGGTGCCCGCCGCTCCGCCTGGGGGCCCGAGACCTGTCGCTCCGCCTGGGGGCCTCAGACCTGTCGCTCCGCCTGGGGGCCTGAGACCTGTCTCTTAGCCTGGGGGTCCGGCTCCCGCCGCTCCGCCTGGGGGCCCGAGACCTGTCGCTCCGCCTGGGGGTCCGGCGCCCGCCTCTCCGCCTGGGGGCCCGAGGGGGCCGAGACCTGTCGCTCCACCTGGGGGTCCGGTGCCCGCCGCTCCGCCTGGAGGCCCGATGCCTGTCGCCCCGCCTGGGGGCCCGATGCCTGTCGCCCCGCCTGGGGGCCCGATGCCTGTCGCCCCGCCTGGGGGCCCAATGCCTGTCGCCCCTCCTGGGGGCCCGGCGCCCGCCGCTCCGCCTGGGGGCCCGATGCCTGTTGCCCCGCCTGGGGGCCCGATGCCTGTCGCCCCACCTGGGGGCCCGATGCCTGTCGCCCCACCTGGGGGCCCGATGCCCGTCACCCCGCCTGGGGGCCCGATGCCCGTCGCCCTCCTGGGGGCCCATCGCCCCGCCTGGGGGCCCGATGCCCGTCGCCCCGCCTGGGGGCCCGGTGCCTGACGCCCCGCCTGGGGGCCCGATGCCTGTCGCCCCGCCTGGGGGCCCAATGCCTGTCGCCCCTCCTGGGGGCCCGGCGCCCGCCGCTCCGCCTGGGGGCCCGATGCCTGTCGCCCCACCTGGGGGCCCGATGGCTGCTGTCACCCCACCTGGGGGCCCGATGCCTGTTGCCCCACCTGTGGGCCCGATGCCCGTCACCCCGCCTGGGGGCCCGATGCCCGTCGCCCCTCCTGGGGGCCCGTCGCCCCGCCTGGGGGCCCGGTGCCCGTCGCCCCGCCTGGGGGCCCGGTGCCCGTCACCCCGCCCGGGGGCCTGCCTGCTACTCCGCCTGGTGGCCCGCTGCCTGCTGCTTCGCCTGGTAATCCGATGTGCCTCTGCCCGGAGTCCAGCCCGATGTGCCTCTGCCCGGAGTCCAGCCCGATGTGCCTCTGCCCGGAGTCCAGCCCGATGTACCTCTGCCCGGAGTCCAGCCCGATGTGCCTCTGCCCGGAGTCCAGCCCGATGTGCCTCTGCCCGGAGTCCAGCCCGATGTGCCTCTGCCCGGAGTCCAGCCCGATGTGCCTCTGCCCGGTGTGCCTCTGCCCGATGTGCCTCTGCCCGGTGTGCCCCTGCCCGGTGTGCCGCTGCCCGGAGTCCTGCCCGGTGTGCCGCTGCCCGGAGTCCTGCACGGTGTGCCGCTGCCCGGAGTCCTGCCCGGTGTGCCGCTGCCCGGAGTCCTGCCCGGTGTGCCAGTCTTTGATATCCCGCCAGTTACCAGACCCAGGCGGTGGAACATTTTGCCCAGCTAGGACTGTTTGGAGCGTCCTGAGGCCGCTCCTTGAGGGGGGGGTACTGTCAGGAATGGACTGGCCAGCGATGGTGGGACTCACCTGCCTTATGGGCTGCAGTACCAGGGCTGGCCAGCGGGTGCTCCCAGCAATCAGAGACTCAACCTTGCAGCCAGTCAAACACCTGGAACTGATTATACTGGTGTATTTAAGGGATGGCCAGACCTGAAGACTCTGCCTGGGTGTGTGTTTCTCCTGGGCCCTGTATCCTGTTCCTGCATCCTGTTCCTGTTCCTGTCTGATTCGTTGCTGACCCTGCTCTGATCCCTGGCTTTGTCTGACCATTCTCCTGCTCCTGATCCCTGGCTTTGTCTGACCATTCTCCTGCTCCTGATCCCTGGCTTTGTCTGACCATTCTCCTGCTCCTGATCCCTGGCATTGTCTGACCATTCTCCTGCTCCTGATCCCTGGCTTTGTCTGACCATTCTCCTGCTCCTGATCCCTGACTTTGTCTGACCATTCTCCTGCTCCTGATCCCTGGCTTTGTCTGACCATTCTCCTGCTTAACCCCATACGTTCTGACCTCCTGTTGATAATCCCGGCCTGCCTGACGACGCTTGCATTGTATGTACTGTTATTTGTGGGTGGTTTGGTTAGGTTCGTTTGCACTGTGTTATGTTTTAGTATTGCACTGCGTTTATGTTTGTATTGTTAGTGTTAATAAATTATATTTATAACATATCTGAAGCCTGCGTTTCCCTGCGTCAGTCACATACCTCTGGTCACACCCTGGAGCCCTGACAGCGAGGTACCGAAGGAGCAGGCAGACAATGGTCAGGTTCACAAGCTGGGTTCAGTAACTCACGGGCAGCGCGGTACAGAGGATCAGGCAGAGAATGGTCAGGGTCACAAGTCGGGTTAAACAGGAGACGGTCAGCAGAGGTCAGGATCAGGCAGGGTCGGCAACAAATCAGACAGGCAGAGGAACAGGAACACAGGATACAAGATACAGGGGCTCATGGGAAACATACACCAAGGCCCTGTTTCAGGCCTGGTCAAATACACCTTCTGCAATCAGCCCCAGGTGTTGGCTGACTGCAGGAGTGAGCTTCTGGCTGCTGAGAGCACCCGCTGGTCAACCCTGGTACTGCAGCCCACACGGCAGGTGAGTCCCACCACCAGTGCTGAGTCCATTCCTGACACACCCGTTCCGGGCGTTATAGGTCGCCTGGGGTTATCATCATCCTTGGCTATACGAATTTCAGTCGATCACCCCCAGGAGACTTCCTGTATGCCGTCCACCAAGAAAAAAAGTAGGGGAAATGCTCAAAAATCCCTTACAACATATTTACTTAAAACACATGAGATTTGCAGCATGTCTCAAGATAATACAAAACGAGCATCCCCATCCGGTCCCACGCAGGATACCACAACTAATCCATTAGCTCAGGACAGTGAATATGCACAGCAACTTACAAAGGGGGACTTGGAATCTTGCTTGGAAACTATGTACACCAAGCTAGCTGCTAAATTCCAATCAGAACTCCACAAGAGCACTAACGTTCTCTCAGGAAATAGCCGCGTTGGGCTCTAGAACTGACCGTTTAGAAACAAAACATGATGAGCTCAGCCTAGCTTATGGTGAGCTTTCGAGAGATTACGAATATTTACAAACAGCCTTTACACAATTGCAGGCACAGGTTGAGGATCTTGACAATCGCAACCGTAGGAATAATTTGCGAGTTCAGGGAGTCCCGGAGTCTGTGACTGACCTTTCACAAGCCACAACTAAGCTATTCAATTCTCTCCTTTCGGACCATGACCCTAGGTCCTTTGCTTGTGACCACATCCATAGAGCTCTGCATCCAAAACCTCCTAATGATAAACCGCCTAGGGACATTGTTCTGTGTATGAAGGATTTCCTGACATACTCAGAGCTGCTCGCAATACCCCAACGATGACCTTTGAAGGTTCAGTTTTGCAAATATTTCCGGATGTTTCTCCGGGTAGGTTGGAGAAACACAGAAAAATTAAGGAAATCACAACTGCTCTTTTCTCAGCTCGTATCCGCTTCAAATGGGGCTTTCCCTTTAAGTGAACTCACGATCGCGAATGTTTATGCATTAAATTCGGCGCAAGCTTCCTTCTTTTCTCACTTCTTCACAGTTCTTGATAGGTTTCTATCCCCTCATTTATTGGTGGGAGGGGATTTTAATCTGGTAACTAACCCCCTTTTGGACAGAAGCTTGTCCTCACCATCGTCCCAGTCCTTCCCAAAATCTCTTACCAAAAAACTAGAAACACTTCAACTGGTAGACTCCTGGAGGGCACACAATGTAGGAGTCAGAGAATACTCATTTTACTCCCACCCACATGACTCTTATGCTAGATTATATTATTTTTTTTTTTAGCCAAAAAGAAGCCTTTATTAATACAAAACATAATGGTACAAAAGACATGTACATCCTAAGCGAAACAGCAGGCACAATAATCTACAGCGACACAGCAGTAACTCAAACAAGAAAATACAGATAATGCAATGATACATAACCCAGTACAATGGATATGCTTGCAGCAAACCGGAGCCAATATAGTATAGTATGGGGTGTAAATGCATCATATAATAATATCCCCTGCACTCGTGCTTCGTCATGTAGGGCTTGTAGCGATAGGAAGAGTGGTCATAGCACCCGTAAGATTCGGTCAAAAACTTATGACTGGGGAGAGTTTACAAAACCGGGAAAACTTGCGGTAGGATGCTTGATGGAAGTGGGGAGAGTGAAAGAATGGCATGTCTAATGTTCCAGGTAGCGTAGCAAAGCAAAAGGCGAGAAGAAAAGAGAAAGGAGAAAAAGCTAGATTATATTATATCTATTGCTCCCCTATTCTGCTAGCCAACTCTAGGAAGGAATGTTTTCATTTAAGTCCCTGGTCAGATCATAATATAATGGCATTATCTATCACTTTCATAGGTCTTGCACCCACTCCCTATTCCTGGAGCCTTAATGACTCTATGCTTACGGATATTAACTCCCACCAGGAAGTAGTTACATCTATCCAGGAATACTTTCAGCTAAACACAACTTCAGATATCTCCTTAGTTACTTTGTGGGTGGCCCATAAGGTGGTCATGCGAGGCCACCTCATTTCTATGGCTTCATCTAGGAATAGGGGGAGGTGGAAACAAATTCAGAAACTTACCCGAGAATTAGAAACACATTATAGAGCTCATATTGGCAATCCACCTCTCTTGAACAAAATGATGATATCGCAAAAGTGTTTAGAACTGAATATTTTATTATCCCAGAAAACTGTAAAAGCTCTGCGTTGGGCTAAAGCCTCTTTTTTATTGCATAGCAACTCAGCTTCTACTATGTTCGCATGAAAATTAAACCATTCTATACGACCCCCACATATCTATAAATTATGAACTAAAACCTCATGAAGTCCTGGGTATTTTTTAAAAATTTTACTCTACCCTATTAGCCCCCCCACAATCACCTTCCACTCCCCCAAACGGCTCATGGCTTGATTCTATTCCC